TCTATCTATTTCACATCCCTCCACGAGTGTCAATAAAAAAATCTAAACACCTTTACACACGCGAAATCACCAGCATACACTCGCAGAGATAAAAAAAAAATAAAAATATCCCTTTCGGAAATGAGTCGAACCCGGAGTCCAGAAGCCGAGGGTCGAGCTATATTAAATCTGCCTCATTGATTCGCGAAAAAGTGCTGGGGAAGCGTCCTTTCTGAAGGGCGGGGTGGGGGGGGGGGGGAGTCAACGGGAAAGTAGTTTTTTTCGTTTCGTTTTGGTTGTTTTGCTCTGCTTCGTTTGGGTCTCGGTCTGTCGGTTGATTTGTGTTTCGTTTTGACTAGTTTCGTATTGTTTTCTTTTGTTTGGATGCGTTTTGTTTCGTTTTTGTTTGGATTCGTTTTGTTTTGTTTCGTTTTTGTTTTGTTTTGACTCGTTTTGATTTGGATTTCGTTTTGTTTCGTTTTATATTATGCTGTTTTGCTTTCCTCCGTTTTGTTTCCTTGTTTTGAGTTTGATTTGTTTTGTTTTGCTTTGCTTTGATTTCTTCCCTCATGTTCTGTTTTGTTCTGTTTTCACTAGGATGGAAAGTATATAATTGAGTATGTCGGAGGAGGATTTGTATCTGTGTGTGGATATGTGTGTGTGTGTGTGTGTGTGTCTGTGTGTGTGTGTGTTTGTGTGTGTGTGTGTGTGTGTGTGTGTGTGTGTGTCTGTGTGTGTGTGTGTGTGTGTTTGTGTGTGTGTGTGTGTGTGTGTGTGTTTTATTCATCAGCAGAGGCAACTGTTACTATTTCCCGAAAATGAATAAGCAACACAGTCGAATATTCTCACTACCGCATATCCCAAAAAAACTGTTTGATAGCATATCCCAAATAGACTATACCCCTGCACATCACTATAAGATATTACAGTACCTCACTATCATCACGCAGTTTATATCCTCAGGTTACAATAGGAGGAATTGTAACTAAATGAATATATTTTCACCAGAATAGCTTCCTTGGTAAAAAGTAACCATTGCATATTGATATTCGTGTTGCTAGCCCGCAACGAAGGTAATAAATAATGCAAACTATTCACCACATTTGAAATCGATTACCCACTGAGAGTGAGGACGAAGAGTAAATGAAAGAATTATTATAGTTTCAGGTGTTCTTATTCTCTTGTTTAGCCTGATACAAGAACTTCGACTTTTGTTTTCTGCTTCTCCCTCTCTCTCTCTCTCTCTCTCTCTCTCTCTCTCTCTCTCTCTCTCTCTCTCTCTCTCTCTCTCTCTCTCTCTCTCTCTCTCTCCCTCTCCCTCTCCCTCTTTCTGTCGCTCGTTCTCTCTCTCTCTCTTTCCTTCTCTCTCTCTCTCTCTCCCTCTTTCTGTCGCTCGTTCTTTCTCTCTTTCCTTCTCTCTCTCTCTCTCTCTCTCTCTCTCTCTCTCTCTCTCTCTCTCTCTCTCTCTCTCTCTCTCTCTCTCTCTCTCTCTCTCTCTCTCTCTGACCTTTTACTTCACCTGACAAAGAAATAGAAGTGGAGGATAGGTTTGCTCCTCTGACAGAGAAGGATATGGTAGAAAGACAAGCAATGATTAAATAAATTACAGAGGGCGTTATCCGATGCCTGTACAGAAATTATACCCCTTGGATATATCTGAGCACGTTTTGAAAGGGGTACAAAAAATTTACAGCAGGACTTGTCAAGTGATAAGACTCCAAAAGCAGAACCTGTACCCCAGAGCTCTCCAGAACTCGAAAGCAGTGCATATAAGATATAAAAACAAGGTCTCTGGAGACAGCAATCACAGCCGGAAAGAGCCGGACTACAGTTTTGAAATCCAGGTGGATTTCGAAACTGTATTTTCACTTTCATTCATACATATATATGTGTGTGTGTGTATGTATGTATATATATATATATATATATATATATATATATATATATATATATATATATATATATATATATATATGTATATATATATATATATATATATATATATTATATATATATATATATATATATATATATATATATATATATATATATGTATGTATGTATGTATATAACTATATGCACATATATATGAATAAACACACGTACATACAGACACACACACACACATATATATATGTGTGTGTGTGTGTGTGTGTGTGTGTGTGTGAAAGTATATATACATATATATACTTATATATATATATATATATATATATATATATATATATATATATATATATATAATATGCCAATCCATAAAGATTGTTGAAGTCATTGCACCCTATTTTGTTCAAATACTCAAAAAAAAGGGACATGAACCAGCAGTATCTGCCTGCAACACGCATGCTCAGACTAGGCCGAGAAATTTAGCCAGAGAGAAAAGTCTCCCAAGAATAGCGCCAGAACTGCCACCTGAATCATAACGCAATACCCTAACACGTCCACATTTCCCAACAGACAGAAGAAACGAAAAGAGCAGCAAAGCGTCTCTCCCCTTGGAACTCGAACCCACTTCCCGCCTCGGTGATGAGTTCGAATTCCAGAGGAAAAGAAATGCGACAGCACGCAACGCCCCATAGCGCTGCTCCCTTGTTAAGCTTTAGGCTCCGTTTCAGCCGCTCTATCTCCACTTACAGCTCCAGTAGCAGCAGTATCTAGAGCAGCAGTTCTAGACGCAGCTGCGGCACCATACTCCACTTCCACTCTCGCCGTAACAGGCCACAGAAAGAAAAAAACTCAACAGTTGGAAATGACAACAAAGATCTGCCGAAAATGTGGATAACGAAAATGGAGCAGATAATAGCCATGCAACAGATTGCTCAACGACTTGAATTCTAGGGAAGGATGTTTGCTCTCCTCCTCAGTCAACAAGAATTTCAGCTGTCTGTAATGGGACTTGAGCAGCTGACGAATGACTGCCCAAAAAGACTTTATAAGTGTATTACTTGAAATCTTTGCCGTTTTAGGAAATGGTCTTAATATTTGTTTGACTTGTAGCTTTTATTTTTCTTATTGGACAAGCTATCTATGTAATTTTATTGCTTCAGTGCTGCACTTCAGAGTTCATGCAGAGTTCATGTAGGTCAACCAGCCTGATTAGATGCTTAGACTTCTTTCTATGCTTTGTTTTCTAAAGGGGGGGGGGGTCTAGTTATTACAATAAATTCTCTCTCTCTCTTTCTGTTTTTCCTTCTCTTTCTTTATTTCTCTCTTTCTCCGTCTAGCTATCTATCTATTTGTTTATCAGTATATATACATATATACATATTTGTATTACATTTTTTTTCTCTCTATCTCACTCTTTTTCTTTTTCTTTCTGATCTTTCTTTTTCCTTCTTATACATATATATATATATATATATATATATATATATATATATATATATATATATATATATATATTTATATATATATATATATATATATATATATATATATATATATATACATGTATATATATACATATATATATTATATGTATTATATGTATATACATATACATATATATTTGTTTATGTTACATTCTATTTATATATCCCTCTCCCTCTCCCTCAACCTCTCTTTCTCCCTCTCTTTCTTCCTCTTCTTCTTCCTCTCCATCTCCCTCTCCCTCTCTTTCTCTTTCTCTCCCTCCCTCTGCTTTTCCTTCTCTCCCTCTCCCTCTCCCTCTCTGCCTCCCTCCATCTCTCCCTTTCTCATAGCAATCAACTTTTGCCACGAGCATAATGCAAATTGCTCAAAAAAGAATCCTTTAATACGGCCTCATAAACCATCCGTCAACCGGCCCAGACAATACAGAACGCGCTAAATCCCACAACAAGCAGTTTACCCGTAATGCCTTGTAATAACACCACGGGGAAAACGACCAAGATTATCTTATAATGTCATAGTGAAGGGCCTTTCCCCCCGAAGTCACCAGGATATTTTTGTGTGTGTCTGTCGTGTGTGTGTGTGTGTCTCTGTCATATTACGGCGTAGATGCTGTAACTGGTCTGTCGTATAATGGAGCCATATGTTATCCTAAGGCGATCTGTGTCTCGGTAAATCTCGTCTGCTCTTATTAATATTCCTTCTCATCTGGCTCAGTAAACTGTGTGGATGTGTGTGTGTGTCTCAATGTGGAATTAGTTTGCTTAACCAGAAAATATTAGTGTAAATATATAGACACATATATCTTATATAGATAAATAAACATATATATTACATATACATTACATATATTATATATAGATAGATAGACAGATAGATATTGGTTCGATTAATTTTCACATGGGTCCCATTTTTTTCGAAATCGTCAAATCCACAGCAATTTCCCAGTTCCATCTAAAAAGGAAAGATTTATGTAACAGAGCTTACACTTAAAAGACAGCAGCTTGAAAGGAAACGTTGACAGCCTTTGTTTGGCCTTCTTGTCGTAAGCAATCATAAATTTCACGCCGGGCTTTCTCGTAACCCGGCGAGCGAGAGGCGGTCGGCGCGCTGGGAGGGCGGGGCGCTTTGGACTCTGCTCTTGGCCCCCGGGGGATGCAGGGCCGGAGTCTCAGGGGGCTAGGGGCCAGGGGGAGAGGGAGAGAGAGAAAGGGAGAGGGAGAGAGAGAGAGAGAGAGAGAGAGAGAGAGAGAGAGAGAGAGAGAGAGAGAGAGAGAGACAGACAGACAGAGACAGAGAGAGGCAGAAAGGCAGACAGACAGTGACAGAGACAGAGTGACAGACAGATAGCGACAAAGAAAGAGATAAACACATTCACACGCACAGAACCAACCAAACAAACACACACACAAGTACAGAAAAACACACGAATATGCCGAAGGCCTTTTCACATTCATTGCTTCATCAGGGCATATAGAACAAAAGATACATACAAGTATATATACATGTATATGGCGGTCAGGTCACGTCGAGGATCAGGTGTTTTCCTGTACTTCCCTTCATTGTTCTACTTGCAATTTGTTCGACATGAATTCCAAACACACACACACAACCCGCCCGCCCTGTTAACCGCCTCCCCCCCCCTCCCGCAGCTGGTGAACTATGGGCGTCGCGAGGGGCGCCTCATCGCCGTCAACACCCAGCACAGCGGCGACACAACGCGCTCGTCTCTGCTCGTCTACAACGCCTCCGTCTGGGACTCCGGGAACTACTCGTGCAAGCCTTCCAACTCCAGGAAGGTCTTCATCAGCGTGCACGTCCTGGAGAGTGAGTGCGGGGACATTTTTTTCTTTCTTTCTTTCTCTCTCTTTTTTCTTTCTTTCTTTCTTTTTTTCTCTTTTCTTTTTTTTTCCTTTCCCTCTCTTTTCTTTCTTCCTTTTTTCTTTCTTTCTTCCGCTTTTTCCTTTTCTTTCTCTTTCTTTTTTTTCTCTCTTTTTTCTTTTTTTCTTTCTTTCATTTCTCGCTTTTTTCTTTCTTTCTTTCTTTCTTTTTCTTTTTCTTTCTTTCTTTCTTTTTCTCTCTTTTTTTTTCTTTCTTTCCTTCTTTCTTTTTCTTTTTCTTTCTTTCTTTCTTTCTCTTTTCTTATTCTCCTTATTATTCCTCCTCTTCTATGTTCTTCTTATTATCATTCATATTCTTCCGGGTGTTTTTCCTCCTCTTCTTCTTCTCCCAATTCTTCTTTATTCTTATTCTTATTCTTGTTCTTATTCTTATTCTTATTCTAATGAAAACAATGATAATGATAATAATGATAAAAAAGATGATGATAATGATAATTTCTTTTTATTATCATTATCATTATTATGCCATTTCTGGTTCTTTGGCTTCTCCTTCCTTTCTTCGCCTTTTTTTTCCTCCTCTTTTATTTCTCCTGTTTTCTCATTTCTTACGTTCTTTATTTTCTCAGTTTTCATTTCTTGAATCTATTTTTCACTTAGTTTCTTTCTCTTATCCTCTCTTCCTGTTTTTTTTTCTTTCTTTCCTTCTTTCTTTCTTTTCTACCTTGATTTTTCCTCCTTATCTATCTCCTCGTCCTCTATTTTCCTCCACTTCTCCCAGCTTTCTTTTTCCACCTCTTGCTCCTTTTCTTCCTCCTGTTTTTTCTTCCTCCTCCTCTTCTTCTTCTTCTTCTTCTTCTTCTTCTTCTTCTTCTTCTTTTTCTTCGTCTTCTTCTTCTTCTTCTTCTTCTTCTTCTTCTTCTTCTTCTTCTTCCTCCCCTTCCTCCTCTTCCTCCTCCTCCTCTTTGTTCTCCTCCTCTTCCTTTTCTTCTTCTTCCTCTTCTTCTTCTTCCTCTTATTCGTATTCTTATTCTTAATCTTAATCTTATTCTTATTTTTCGTCTTCTTCATCATCATCATCATCATCATCATTATCATCATCATTATCATCATCATCATCATCATCATCATCATCATCATCCTCATCATCATCCTCATCATCATCATCATCATCATCATCTTTTTCCTCCTCTTCCTCCTCTCGCTTCTCTCATTCCTCTTCGTTTTAATAGTCACTGAAAGTAATTTTGTAATTCATTGGATTAAACTGTGAATATTAATCGGTCTTCGAATGTCGCTCAGCGTTTAACTCTTTTTCGTTCTTTTGCATTTACGTTATCTGGAGTTCTGTGCTTTTTCTTTTTTTTATTTATTTTGTTATTTTCTTGGTGTTTTTTTTTTTTTGGGGGGGAGGGGGAAGAGGAGGGGAGGGGGGAGATTATTATCTTATTTTTTTTCTCTTTTTTATTTTATTTTCTTCTTTTTTTTTCATTTCTTGTCTTTCTGTTTGATTGATTTGGTTTTTTTTTGTTTTGTTTTGTTTTGTTTTGCTCTCTCTCTCTCTCTCTCTCTCTCTCTCTCTCTCTCTCTCTCTCTCTCTCTCTCTCTCTCTCTCTCTCTCTCTCTCTCTCTCTCCTTCTCTTTACTTCCTTTCATAAATCCTCACCAATCTCCTTCTTTCTCATTTCCTCCTATTTTTTTATTTCTCCTTCATTTCTATTAAATCTTCACCATTAGCCTTTCACTTCTTTTTATTTTCTTTTTTCATCTTACCTTTCTTTCATAAATCTTCACTAATATTCAATTATCTCTTTCTTTCTTTTTTCATCGTATCTCCTCTTTTATTTTGACTTTTCCAATTATAAGTCATCCCTAATAATCCTTTACCCTTTTCTTTCTTATCTGTTATATCTTCTTCTGCATATCCTTATTACTTATTCTCTTATCGTTTCTTATCTATTCCTTCCTTGTCTCTTTCCTTTTGCCGGAGCTTAACATCTGTCTGCAAATCCGCATATAAATCTGTCCCTCTCATATTTTTTTGTTTATATTATTCTACTTATCTTCTCCTATTTTATCTTTTCTTCTCTCCTCTCCTTCCCTTTCTTTAAATCCTGACTAACCACAACCGCTTCTGCCCCGCCAGGTGAGACGCCCGCCGCCATGCAGACCACGACCAGCGCCGGCGCACTCGGGCCTCTAAGCCACCCTCTCACCTTCAGCGTGGCTTTAGGGACCTCATCCGGCTTGTACGCTGTCCCCCACCTCCGCTCCCTCGCTACCTCCTTTCGTGTCTCTCCTCGCTTCGTCTTCTCCTTCGTTTTGTCTGTCCTCCTCGCGTTGTTTCTCTGTCCTTCGGTGGCTGCGTGCCTCGCCCTAGCCACCGCGTTCGTCACAGCAGGTTCTCTCTTCGCTGTGGGTGTTCGCAGGGCCGTGGATCCCTTCGTCAGCCGAGTCGACCCGCGGAAAAGGGCGAAGACTTGAAGATCTGGACTGCGAAGGGCATTTGCAGATCGGCGCAGTAGAGCGGCTGAGAAAGCTGGCTCCTGTGATACGAGGAAGCTGGTTCTTGCGACCGAGAAGAGTTTCAAGGAAGGAGGTTCTCTTAAGGCTACAGTTTGCACAGCGACGGTGGGAGTCTATAGTGTGTATAGTTCTTGTAAATAGGAAAGATGCTTGTGTTTCTGTTTGCATTAGGTCTAAAGAATGCCACAAAATATGGCACATCATTATCAAGAAATATATATATATAAAGAAAGTCGAAATCTCTTGCTTCGAGGCATTACGAGTAGAATGTACCCTTGATGTCGAAGGCATTAAACCGCGGAATGCCTCGGGACCGAAAGATCATTGGAAATGGCGTATTGGAACTACAGAAGGCTTTCTCTGCTAAAAGCTCAGAATATAATCCAATACGCTAACTGGTGGAACTGTAAGTAATGGACACTTGAATACTATTAATTCGAAGCAAAAAAAGTTATATTTCTATACAATATCATTGATTCCTGTAACTAATAATGCTGATAATGGCTTCCTGCTGGTGGCACATTCAAGGGAGTCAAATACGACCAGAACTGTCAGCAAGTTCTGGATATGTGTGTGTGCACTATTAACAGTCTACAAAATGCCATTGTGTATTAGTCAAGCAACTGACAAATTGCACCTTTCCGCCTGCATAATACATTTACTGACATGATGCATACATTCAGATACAAAGTTATTCCCGTTT